TTTGCGTTACGATGACGTCAAATGAGATCATCTTTTTAATGGTGTCTATTTTAAGTGGGTCTCTGCAATATTTATATAAGGCTGCAAAGAGAGATAGCGTTTTATTTGTTTTGTCTTTTTAATGACCGAATATATGCACGTGGGGGCACTGAAAAGTAATCGAAAAATATTTCTCCCTTCCAATTATGATTGTCGGTCATTTGGTTAGATTTTGGCGAAATAGGTCGACTGAAAACTTTTCAATCAGTCCGCTTATAAATGCGATTAGTTTATGTGAAAAAAAAAACTGTAGGTATGTCAATACTTCAGAAGAGAGAAAGAGAAAGAGAGAAGAAAAGAGTGAGAAGGTGAGAAAGAGGAAGAGAAATAGAACAAGAAGTGAATGACTGAACGAGAGAGAGAGAGAGAGAGGAGAGAGAAAAGCAAAACAATAGAAAGGGAGAGAATAAGAAACTGAATGAGAGAGACAGTGGAAAATAAGTGAGAGAAGAGTGAGATAGTGAGAAAGACTGATGGAAAGAGTCCCGGGAACTGATAATAAGAGAAAGATATTAACTGAGAAAGGAACAGGGAGAAAGAGAGAGAAAGAGGGCAGAATGAGAGGGACAGGAAGAAGGGGAGATGGAGGGAGAAAAGAGTTGGAGATGGAGAGAGAGAGAGAGAAAGAGGGTGAGAGATAGGGGGAGAGGCAGAGAGAAGAGTAGAGGGAGAGAAAGATGGGAGAGAAAGATGATAGAGAGAGAGAGATAGATAGGAGAGAGCGAGAGGGAGGGAGAGTGGGGAGAGAAAGAGGAACAGAAAGAGAAATTGAAGAGGGTGAAAGAGAAAGGGGAAGACAAGGTAAACAGAGGAGTGGAAAGAAAAAGAAGAAAAAAATGAAAAGGAAGAGAGTAGAAGAGCGAGTGATACTGAGAAAGGGTGAGCGTCGGATGAAATAGGCTGAGAAAAAGGGATATTAGAAGGAGAGAGAAGGAAAAAGAAGCTGGTAAGAGAAGAGGAAAAAAAATAAGGATAGAGATAGAAGAAGAATGATTTATATTTAGATAGTGACAGAGTGAGAGAGAGAGAGAGAGAAGAGGAGAGTTACAGGAAGAGGAAGGAAACGGAGATGAAGATAGTGGCAAACAGAGGAGCGGAGGAGACAGAGAAAGGAAAAGAATAGAAAAAAGGGTGAGTAAACAGAATGAAAATGAAAGAAGAAAGAGATTTGAGAGAGAGAGGAAAGCAATGATAAAAGGAGCAGAAGATAGAAAGATAATAAGAAAAAAAGAAAAAATAAAAATAGAGAGAGAGATATATATATGAACGGAGTGTAAAAAAAGAGTTAAGACAGTAACAAAAGAGAAAATAGAATATATATATATATATATATATATATATATATATATATATATATATATCTAAAAAAAAATTCTAAAAAATAAAAGTATTTTACATTAACCAGAAAAAAAACTTAGGCAGAAGCGTCTATCTTTTAAATTTGGATTTTAATGTAACTATAACAACAAAAAATTTCGATTTCATTTTTGCCTTGAAAAAGTCGGAAGACGAAACGCGTCAGCAAAATGTAAAGATTTTTTCCAATTGTCATTTGATGCCATATATATATATATATATATATATATGTGTGTGTGTGTGTGTATATGTATATATATAAATATATATATATATATATATATATATATATATATATATATGGATATATATATATATAGGGATATATATATATATATATATATATATATATATATATATATTTGGGGGGGATGATAGAGGAAATGATAGAAAGAACGACAAAAATTGATAAAGACAGAGAGTAAAGGGAGAGAAAATGAGGGAGAAAGTGAGTGAGAGGAATATATGAATAAAAAATGAGCGACGAGACAGTGAAAGAGAAAAATTAAGGGAGTGCTAAATAGAAAGAAGAAGTGAGAGAGAAGGAAGAGAGTGACAGAATGAGTGATATTAAGAGAGAGAGAGGGGTGTAGAAAGAAGAAGAAAAAGAGATTGAAAGAAAGAGGTTGAGAAACAATGGATAAAGAAAAGGGTAAGAGAAGAGGGAGAAAGAGAGAGGGATATAAAATGACAGAGAGAAACAGAGGAAGAAGAGGAAAGAAAGAAAGTAAATGAGAAGGGAAGACTGATAAAAAGAGTGGGAGAATGGAGTAAAACATAGAGAAGAAGGAACAAAAAAATAGGGGTTGATTAATAAATGGGGCGTAAAATGATAGAGAAGAAGAAGAAAGAAGAAGACGAAGAAGAGAGAAGGACCGAAAAATGATGTAAAAGGTCTTTTAAAAGAGAACGGAGTGAAAGAAAGTGTGAAAAAGACAAAAGAGGAGAGTGACAGAAAGAAAAGAAGGAATTGATAGAATAACTGAGAAAGGGACAAAGAATGAATGCGAGAGAGAAAGAAAGAGATAGAGACAAATAGAAAGTGGGAGGTAAGAGAGTGAAAGAGTAAAGACAGTGACAGACAGATGAGTGGAAAGGGGAAGAAAGTGATAGAGTGAATGATACGGATAGAGAAAGAAAGAAACATGGAGAGAGAGAGAGGAAAGAAGAGGCTGAAAGAAATGGATGAAAGACAATGGAAAATAAATGGATACGAGAAGAGAAAAGAGACAGATAGATTGAAAGAATGACAGGGATATAGAAAGAAGGAAATGAACTCTGATAGTGACAAAGAGAGAGAGAGAGAGAGAGAGAGAGAGAGAGAGGAAGAAACAAAATAAAAGAAAAAGAGGGGAAGAGAGTAATATTAAAAGGAAGATATGGAGGGAAAATAGAGGAAACGGAAGTGAAAAAGAGAGAATATATTGACAAGCAACGGAGAAGAAAAGAGAGAGAGAAAGAAAGATAAATATAATGAGAGAAAGATTGATGGAACGGTATGAAAAATAAAGAAAGAGAAAGACAGTGGGGGAGAAAAAGATAGAAAAAGAGAAAAAGATTAGAGAGAGAGGGATAGATAGAGAGATAGATAGATAGATAGAGAGAGAGAGGAGATAGAGGGAAGAAAGATATTAAAATAGGAAGGAACACTATTTAAATTGTTCGGATTATTCTCCTCATCTTTGCTCTCATATTCACAACGTTTCGGCAGTTGTACACTGCGACCTTCTTCCGGTGATTAGCATTTTGAACTGAACCGTTTATTTCATCCACCGAAGTAGATTGTTCTAGTTCCACGTGCCGAGCCTCTTTCCTGATGTCAATTTCAGTTTCAGTTATCTCCCTTTAGTAACTCAACCCTCCAAGTTTTTTGTTCACCTCACCTGTGGCCAGGTATTGAACACACAACTCTTTGGGTCAAGTCACTGGATTACTTCAACCAACGCTTTTATCCACTGGCCCAGTGGATAAAGGCGATGGGACGTGGGACTAGAACAATCTACCCCGGTGGACAACGGCTGAAACGTCGTGAATTATGGCAGTAAAGATGAGGACAATATTCTGAACGATGTAAATAGTGCAAATATTTACAATACCTCATCTCAGAAATATAGACAGATCCCGAAGAAGGCCGGAGCGTACCACGACCGAAACGTCGTGAATATGACAATAAAGATGAGGACAACAGTCTGAACAATGTAAATAGTGTAACAATACCTCACCTCAGAAATATAGACAGACCCTGAAGAAGGCGGAAGCGTACAACGGTCGAAACATCGTTAATATGACAAAGATGAGGACAACAGTCTGAACAATGTAAATAGTGTAACAATACCTCACCTCAGAAATATAGACAGACCCTGAAGAAGGCGGAAGCGTACAACGGTCGAAACATCGTTAATATGACAAAGATGAGGTCAACAGTCTGAACAATGTAAATAGTGTATATAGTTACAATACTTGATCATAGAAGTAAAGACAGATAGGGACGAATTGAAAAATAAAAGAGAAGGGAGTGAAAAAGAGAGGGATATAGTAATAAATATAGGAGCAGAAATAGAGAGAAGAAATAAAAGAAAAAGAGTGAGTGTGTGTGTGTGAGAGAGAGAGAGAGAGAGAGGGAGATAGGTATTTTTTTAAATATTTAATTAACTTATCCAAGTCAACCGCAAAATGTCGAATTCGATGAAATATTAAAACTCTACCTGTGTCATGTCCGCCAAATCTACGCCCTTCCTTTAAGCACTCAAATTTCCCCAATGGAGATAAACACTCAACAGTTTTACTTTCTTATCTATGTGTGCGTGTGTGCGTGCACGTGTCAATACCTATTTATATAGTCACCCCTTGCCTTATTTCTATAGGCTGTAGAATTTTGGTAGAGACAAGTCGTAATATGCTTACATGTATTCACGCACGTCTACCAGCTATGACACACGCCGGACTAGTTTTATGCATTTATTGAAACTTTATATGTTTTTCTTTTTTTTTTTTTTTTTTTTTAGATGTGACAGTATTATTACAGTTGCACTCTGCGACCTTGTTCAGGTGTCTATTGTAGTTAATAACTTTCTAGGAATTTTCAACCAAACACTTTATTCCATCAATGGGCTAGATTGTCTTCACCCTCTGTTCACAGCAGAAAACATATATCAGTTAATTTTATCTCTGGAATTGGAATGAAATCTTTGATGGCACTTAGCCTGAATCGATCATAAATATCCAGAAAGAGATAAAACACTTTAAATAACATTCGTGTGTAGTTATAAAAAATTAGTATAGGAGAAAAGGAAATTGAATAAAGAATATGCTGCACCAGATATAGTTTCACACAACACCGCAAATTGCTACAAAACCAAAATATCAACCTGCACTTGAATAGTTTCGTCAGATTGAGACTTTCAAATAGATGGCGTCAAAACCCGATCACAGATATCTAAACTGTCGGCTGTGTTCAGCCATTTCCTGAGATCAATGGATCGAAACTTTGTGGACTGGCGCTACAGAATCACAGACAAAGAACTGTACCAAATAAGAGAAACCATATCACTTGAGGAATACCAAGAGCAGCAAAAACGCGTAGCTAACATGTGGCACAAAGCCAAAAGTATAAGACAGCCAGTGAGGATCGAACTCACTATTCACTGATAATTGTTCGAGCGAGATAAGCTTGCTAACCATTACATCACGTTAAGGTGCCCCCCCTAAATAACTGAAATGGATATCACGTGTAACTAGAGAAAATAATGACATCATCAAGATGTTAACATTCCGTACTACTTCAAACAAAAGGTTGGAAAGGAAACCGCTATCGATAATGGAAAGAGCTACAACAGCTACTAGACTTGAGAAAATTATTTTCCTGAAGAACTGTTTTAAGAGAAAGATTTTATAAATTTCAACCAAAATTAGTACTGGCTGCTCGGTCAATGAATGCCAAATGTTTCCTTATAGGGAAACGGCTCTCCTTTGTTCTGATATCATTCTGATTATAGCAAGCAATAGAAATACTGAAGAATGTGTATCTATTCTTCAGAGGTTATGTTTTAGGAGGAGGCACGGAGAGCCAAGTTCGAATTACAGTCGAATCGATTACATTCGCTTACGTACTAATACCCTTGGGAAAGGTATGAATACTCTTCTTCTCCCCCCAGCTATGGGTAAATAGCAGGAGAGACCGGCAACTGTCAACTGGTCTACCGCAGAAAGAAATGGCAACCTACTGCATGAAATACATCTGCCTCGTCAGTCATGTATCCAAAGATACATGATCGCCTAAGCGTGTATCACGCATGGCACATAACTCACTGATTATGTTTTAGAGTGGCAATAAGCATGCTTCTTACTCTTCCCTATTACTGTGACAATGGTTTACTGCTACCTATAAATATTTGAGGAGTAGTTTTTCCGTTCTATGCATGAGTATTTAATGAACCTCTTTGTTTTTCCTATTTACTCTTCTATTCCTTTGATACTCTCCCTAACTATGGGCTTCCTCATTGTCAGTTATTTTGAACCATTATAACATATTACTCAAAAACATTCCATAAGGTACGACCCAAAAACCTATTTGAACTGCTAGGAAAACTTAATTTATTCAAGAAATATATGAGAATAATCCAGAACATTAACTGGCAGAAAACAACCTGCATAAAAGCAAATACATAAAAAACAGAAAGGAGTGTAAGACAAGGATGTGTCATCTCACCGGACTTATCAACCTTTAGAGCAAGACGATTCTAAGTGAACTGAAAGTCCTAACATTTAGATTTATTTATCAGTGGCTGATATGATCTTAACAGCATAAGATACAAAGAAGACATCGTGTTAATAGCAGACACAGAAAGGAAAGTGAGGGAAATCTTAGACAGGATAGTAAAGGAAAGTGAGAAGAAAGGACTAACCATCAATTGTAAAAATACAGAATGTATGGTCGTTAGCAAAAGGGGTAGTCCAAGAGGTGAACTGAATGTTGGGGACGTCAGACTCAAGAAAGGACTGAAAATTAACTACCTGCAAAGTGTTATAACAGAAAATAGAAAATGTGTCAAATAAATACGAGGGTGCGTCGTTATAGTGAAAGATGTCTTTCAAATGCTAAGCAACGTATTAAGACAGAGAAAATTTCATTAAAACCAGAGAAGAGTACTGAAATTCTCTGTAATATCAATCCTTCTATATGACAGTGAATGCTAGACAATCTTCTCAAAGATGAAGAGGCGACTTGAGACAATGAAAATGTGGTTCTACAAGAGGATGCTGAGAATAGCAGGGACGAATCATGTGAGTAACGAGGAAGTTTGAAAGGAAATGGTAACGAAAAAGGAACTTTTACATAGGATTAGAAAAAGAACGTTGAAATTTTTACGACACGTAAATAAGGAAAGAAGGCTTGCAGAATTTGACACTCACAGGGAATACTGGAGTTAAAAGTCAAGAAAAACAGCAAGTAACACAACTAACGACGAGCTTGGATAGTAAAATACGGAATGGTAAGACTGGTGAGGGGACTAACAATGCTTTTACGTGCTTTAAGTGGGGAAAGACGATGATTGGTCACGCCCGGAATGAATATGGCACATAAAAGAAGAAGGATGGGAAGTTGGGGAGAGCCATAATAGAAGAAGAAGAAACGAGACTGTATGGTGATTTTCTAAGCGTAGCGTAGATGTGCTACAAGGCTGAAAATATGGTTGCACCCAGTGTGGATCGAATTCACTTATCAGTCGTTATTGTTCTAGCGAGGCGAAATGATTTTGAAATCGTAGCTTAGATGTGGCTCAAGGCTGAACATGTGGGGTCACCCAGTGAGGATCGAACTCACTTTTCAGTTGTAATTTATCTAGCGAGACAAGCCTGTTAACCATTACAACACGTCGAAGTACCAGAAGGGAAGCTGTACGTTTGTAAATACCTTGTGCGTGAGTTAGTGTGAGAACGTGTGCAACAGAATATATGTATGTGCATGCGAAAGAGAGGATAGGTGCGTCTAGGAGAGCGAATCGCGTGTGTGTCCGGCGCACCCGCGTGTTTAGCTAACGCCTCAGAATCTGAATGGTGTGCCGAATAGAAACACGCCTGACAATTTGAAGAAACAGGCGCCATTTCCCACGCTACGATGAGTTAACATATTCTATTTTCGATGCTTCATTCAAAAATACTTCTTGTTGTCACGTCCCTTCAGGACGTGGGCGTTTGTGGCTCTCCGCAACTTCTCATCTTTTGGAGATCTTAGTAAGATTTGGCTTTCCGTTATTTCTCACAACCTTTCTTTCTGGCATCCATTTAGACAAGCTTGTAAGTTAGGTTATTCCAAAGGATGGGAAGTTGCGGAGAGCCACAAACGCCCACATTCTGAATGGACATGACAAGAAGAAGAAGTATTTTTGAATGAGGCATCGAAAATAGAATATGTTAATTCATCGTAATGTGGGAAATGGCGCCTGTTTCTTCAATCTGTCACGCATATTTCTATTCGGCACACCATACACATTCGGATGTAGGCGCATCGAGGTGGTGTAATGGTTAGTAAGCTTGTCTCAGCAGACGAATGATGATAGAGTAGTGAGTTCGATCCTCGCCGCTAAATGCCCCCATGCTCTTTTTTACACACACATTCTCTCTCTTACGTGCACACATAGACGCACACGCGCATACTTTCTCGCACAAACTCACGCACAATTATCATACATACATACATACGTCTCTCTTCTTCTTCTATGTGCCGTGTCCCCCCAGGACGTTGGCGATCATGGCTCTCCACAATTTCCTGCCCTTTGTAGCTCGTAATAGATTTTGTCTTTTTATAATCTCTCCTAAACCATGTTCCGCCATTCATTTACTCACGCTCATTTTTCTTCTTCTTCTATGCGTCGTGTCCCTTCAGGACATTGGAGACGATGGCTCTCCACAATCTCCTGCCCTTTGTAGCTCGTAATGAATTTTGTCTTTTTGTAATCTCTCCTAAACCCTGTTCCGACATTCTTTTACTCATTCTTCTTCTTCTTCTTCTTCTTCTTCTTGTATATGTCGTGTCCTTTCAGGACGTAGGCGATCCTAGCTCTCCACAATTTCCTGCCCTTTGTAGCTTTCAGTAAATTTTCTCTTTTTGTTAACCCCTAAACCTTGTTCTACAAATACATTTATTCAATCCCGCTCGGTAGATTGCTTTCCTCTTGCCTTCAATCTGTCCTGTGAGTATCAGATTTTCCCAGCACACTTTCCTCTTTATATGCCCTAGAAAGTTCAACTGTTTCTTCCTGATGTTAAGTATAATCGGTAATTTCTGTCTCCATTTTCTCGAAAACTTCGTTATTGTTCCATTGTTCAGTCCATGGTATTCACAGCATCCTTCGGCAGAACATTTCTGTTGCTTCAAGTCTCTTCTTAACCTGTGAGGAAATTGTCCAGAGTTTTCTGATTTAAAATTTCCTTCTTTCTCTCTCTCTCTCTCACACACACACACACACACACACACACACACACACACACACACACACACACACACACAGAAACATCACACTTTGCACACAGACACACATATTCTCTAAGAATACATTCAGATTTTCGCTGATACACAAGCACATTGATAGACACATGCGCTCTCGCACACACATATTACCTCTCACATATACTCACAAACACACTCGCACTCTTATGCATACACTGACACACATCCATTGAACGTCGGTACACTTCTTTCGTGTAGATATTAGCCTAGAATGAGAAATCGGAGAACCGTGTTCGAATTCCAGTCGGGTTCATGATATATAACTAAGCGAAAATACTCTTGGGAAAGATATGAACCCATCTCTTCTTCCCAGGTTATGTGTTCAATAGCAGCACAGATTGGACCCTATAGCCATCGTTGCCCACCAGTCTACCGCAGAAAGAAACGGCAACCTACTGCGCGAAAATCTTCTGCATAGTCGGTCGAAAATCGAAAGAGACATGATCGCCCAAGCGTGTATCACGTATGGCAATTAACTGACTGACCCACTCATACATCTTGATTCATGGTCGGTGCTTCATACTGCGCCAATATCCGGCGTTACATTTCCGCAGGTATGACCCTTTGTCCTTTGTCATCGATGGTGATGAGTGCAGCGTCCAGGCGTCTGACCTCGTAGCTCCCTGTCATTCGACTGGATGATGGAATGTGGCTAAACTACCCGTCATCCTACGCAAAAATTGATCTTACTTTCGGATTTAGAGCTTAGATGTGGCACAGACCGAAAGTGTACAGCACCCAGTGAGGATCGAACTCTCTACTCAGTCGTAACTGATCTAGCGAGATAAGCTTGTAATGCACTACATGGAAGTCTGCTATATTTCTGATATGTTTCCATTCACCCCAAGCAAGGCGATATATCTATTAATAGATGTAAAAAAATAAAAATTAAAAACATTCTTGATTATGGCTAATAGAATAGCAGAAAGCGCTCGGATATATCGAACATTTGGACAATTTTTACACACTTTATGTCCAAAAAGAAAACGCTTATATGAACACAAGAAAAATTACATAAATACCTCGATAACTACCTTGTCTGTCTTCTTGTTTAATGAAACTTATATATATATAATCGACTCTCCCGTCGAGATTCGACGTATGAGGGTCAAGCAGATCAGTTTCCAGGAAACAAATATATATATATATATATATATATATATATATATATATATATATATATATATATATATATATATATATATTGGTTTCTCGAATATTCAGGTCGATAGATAGAAATAAATATAACGTTTAAAATGTATCAAAAACATGTCTGATTAATCAACGAAAATACATTTCTAATCATATATATATATATATATATATATATATATATATATATATATATATATATTAAAATTCTTTCTTCTTCTTTATACCACGTCCTTCCAAACGTAATATTTGCATAATCCAAAGTGGCTCTCCAAAATCCTCCTTTTCATTTGTAGTTCTAAGAAATGTTTGCTCCTTTAATATCTACCCCAGTCCATGTTTTGCCACACATTTACTCAAGCTCATGTGCTCAGTTCACTCGCTGTTTTCAGCTGGGCCTCTTGCCTTCAGTATGCCTTGTGAGTGTCAAATTCTCCACGCGGCCTTTTCTTATTTTGTGTGCTATAAATTTGAACTCTCTAATAGAAAAATACAATAGAAAAAAATCAACATTTAGAATCAGATATCTGATTCTAAATGTTCATTTTTTTCTATTTTGCTTAAACTTTCCTTGTTGCTCACATGCACTGTCTATCGCATTTTCAGCATTTTTTGGTGGAACCACTTTTTGTTGTTTCAGGTATCTTCTTCATCTGTGAGAAAATTGTCCAGCACACACGGATATATAGGAGGATGGATATTAGTATATTAATTCAGTATTTTTTCCTTTGTAACGAAATGTTTCTGTTTCTTAATACTTTGCTTAGCTTTTGGAAGGTATCTTTCGTTATTTTAATGTTCTACGGAATATCGGTGCCATATTTTCCGCCGTCGTGTAGAAATCTTCCTTTTCTTATTCTTCTTCTATGTGCCGTAACCATTTCCTTTAATCCATTCTCGTTATCTAATTTTCCATCCATATGTGACGTGATCCTGCTCTCACGCCACCAAATTGTGACGTCACCCCGGCCTCTCTCTGCCCCGTGTTATCCTGTGACGCCCAATGTGACTTGGTATTGGTCGCGGCGCTAAATGTGACGTTCTAAACCCTTTGCTGATTCGGATGGGAATCTGGTTAGATTCGGTATCAGCTTTGTCGTTCCCAGCTCACCTCCAACGTCTGGTTACCGAAGTAACTGCTTTGATTTCTAGTCTAACCTACCCACGTTGTGATTTGATCTTAGGTAGACGAAATCAATCAGTCGCCGGGCCACAATGCAAGCCGAGTCCGAGCAAAGGTAACACCACACAAGTATATGTAAAAAAAAATAAAGTAACAACTCGAAAAGTTCAAATGTGTTAAAAAAAGAATAACAAATATTTTTTATATCTGGTTTCTGAATACAGGACTGCGTCTTTCTCCCAAACCGCTAATATGGATTCGTGACACTTTGTGTTTGTTAGGCGAGTCTTAACATCTTAAGTTGTTTTTTTTTAAGAAACTGTTTTTTTTTTTATCTTCAGGCGATATTCGTAAAACTTGTTTTGGTGGTGTGAGTCTAAGTCGTTCTTCAAAAATAAATTGTTTTTGGTTAGAAGTTGAAGTCGGGATGCGTGGATCTTCAGTCAGCTTCCTGCGAGGCTGGTCTCAGAGCTCAACAGCTTCAACTGCAACTAACTTCTCTCTTTTCAATTCCAACTACTGCCTAACTCGCTGCGACTCTGCTTATATGGACGCCGACCAAAACCGGGTGTGGGCTTGTCGGGGTTTGAGTTCCTTGATAATTCTAAATCCACAATAAAGATTTTCTTTGTTATCGGACAGGAAAAATTTATTACTTTCCATTTCTGGAGTCCATCCATTTTTCTGCTTTAGAGGGGTTCTTAAGTCCTCCCAAATTCTTCCTTTCTCATATTGGTATCTCAAACCAATCCCCTCAGAGGGCGTCAACAGGTTTCCCTTCTTTCTCATAGTGGTATCTCACACCAATCCCCTCAGAGGCGTCAACAGGCCTCCCTCTCTTTCTCACATGTTTACCTTCGCCTACCGCTCACGCCACCATTCAGCCAATGAACGCCGCTCAGCAGCGGGTGGGTGTTTAAAGTCATTTTCGCTCAAAAAAGGAAAAAAAAAATTTCTTTCTTTTTTTTTTTTTTTTTCTTTCTTCCCGAAGCAGACCCCCACGACTCGTAGTGTGGTCCCTAATCTCTATCTTAACCCGAATGTCACCTGGACTTTATCAATCGAGATTTTCGCCAGCGTCAAGTGGGTGGTTAACTGGACGTATTCGCATTCTGTATCCAATTATCCATCCCGGTATCAAACTTTTATCATGTTCAGGTCTGGACAATAAAACAGGTGGTCTTTTCCCAAAAACAAATGATATCTCCGAAAGATAGTTAATGGTTTATTCTTTTCCTTTCTCTTTTCCTTCCTTTTCTTTTTTTTTTTGGTGGTCTTCAGCTGATGTCTTTCTCGGTCAATACGTGACCTGATTACAAT